ATCATGCTATCGTTAGACGAATGGAGGCAATTACTGCTGGGGGCCACGGAAACGTTTGAAATCTTCACCGATCATCAGAATCTCGAGTACTTCCAGAAACCGCAGAAACTCAACCGACGACAAGCACGATGGATCACGGAGCTGGCGGAGTTTGATTTCACCTTACGACACCGACCCGGCGCACTCAACCGCAAGGCGGATCTCCTGTCTCGACGAGCGGATCACGATCAGGGCAAAAACGACAACATGGACGTCACATTACTGAAGCCTGAGTTCTTCCGATCACAAGAAGTCACATTTGAAGGGCAGGATCAACAGCTAATCGATGAGATCAAGGCCCTTCGATCGATTGACGGGAGCGTCAAAGCGGCCTTGGAGAAGTCACTCGTCGGATGGAAGAAGGAAGATGGGCTCATCACGTATCACGAGAAGCTCTATGTGCCAAGGGATGAGGAGCTGCGGGACAAGATCATTGGGCTACACCACGACACACCCCTGGTCGGACATGCAGGGATCAACCGAACGCAGGAGATGGTGGAAAGGAACTACTGGTGGCCAAGGATGGGGAACCAAATTCGGAAATACATCCAGACGTGCGAGGCATGCCAACGGACCAAGACCAGAAGGGCAAGAACGGGGACCCTACACCCGCATGCGGTTCCAAACGCACCATGGGAAATCATCTCCATGGATCAAATCGGACCCCTACCGGTCAGTAACGGGTATGATGCAATCCATGTGTGGTGTGACACCTTCACCAAAATGATCCATGTCGAACCCATTAGTACTGACATCAGCAGCGAAGGAGTAGCACGGTTGACAAGGGACCGGGTTTTCCGTTATCACGGGATCCCTCGCAAAATCATCACCGATAGGGACTCACGATACATCAAGGGCTTCATGAAGGAGACGAACCGGATGTTGGGCGTGGAGATGAACCCGGGGACAGCATATCACCCGATCACGGATGGGCAAACCGAGCGCATGAATCAGGAGATCGAGCACTATCTCCGCATATACGTCAACTACCATCAGACGGACTGGTCGGAGTGGCTGGGAATGGTGGAATTCGCATATAACGACAAAATGAACACGTCTACCAAAATATCACCATTCTACGCCAATCACGGATATCACCCATGGAAGGGAGTAGAGCAGCGGATGGAATCGAGAAACAAGTCGGCGGAGGAATTTGTAAAAAGAATCAAAGAAATACAAGACGAAGCTAAAGCAGCATTGGAAAAAGCAAAAGAAAAAATGAAAAAATACTACGATAAACAAAGAAAAGAAGTTCCGGAGTTGAAGGTTGGGATGAAGGTGTACATAGAAGGGGAAAATATCGAGACGGACAGACCATCGAAGAAGATGAGCGACAAGAGATTGGGACCATACGAGATACTGGAGAAGGTTGGAGCGGCCGCATGGAAGCTGAATCTGCCGGATACGGACCAAAGACACCCCGTGTTCAACGAATCACTGTTGACACCCTATCACGAACCACCCCCCCATCGCCGAGAGAAGAGACCCGTAGCCAAGATGATCGGAGGAGCAGAGGAGTGGGAAGTCGAAGAAATTGTGAAAGAGCGAAAAGTCGGCCGAGGAAAACAGTACTTGGTCAAATGGAAGGGATGGCCGCACAGCAAGAACACCTGGGAACCATCACGCCACCTTACCCACGCGAAGGACGTCCTGAGAGACTGGCAGAGGAAACAATCCAACCCAGACACACGCATTTGCCTCCTACCAACTCTCGAAGCTGGACACTGGGACTATCTTATTCATCGCTATAAACCCAGGGATGAGCGCCTCCCCTATCCCCAACGACAACTCTTTGACCCTTACGAGAACGTCTTCACGCCCATTGGCCTAGTCGATGAGGACATCGACCCTAGAGAGGGGGTAATGTCATAGTTCGGCCACTTTTTCATCTTATCTTCGACGATCTTATCTTATCTCGGCACGGCTTATCTTATCACGGATCACGGCATCAGACGGCCCGGGCTAGGGGTTCGAGGGATTATCCTTATCGATTCAAGGCTGCGCGACATATGCTCCGGAAGGATCTACTACAACCCATGACCAGTGTTCCATGCGGTACATAGCCTTATGACTCATTAGTTGTAGATATGACTCAGACTGGATTTGGGTATAAATACTGTAGCTACCTGGTTGTATTCTCCAGTCCTCGAATTCACTTCTCTTTTCGACTTTGTTTTTGGGTTGATTGTCACAGTAGGACTCCATAGTTCCGGACCATACGAGCCAGTGCTTTCCATCAAAGATGGAGACAGCATTGAAGATGTTGTTGGAGTTGGACGACATATTGATCTGTGTGAGTTAATCAGCATCAATCTAATCTGATAGATAAAATCAAAGATCAAGATGATCAGATTCTCATAGATCATAATCTCCTTGAGAGATCGATGCATCTGGATCAAGCGATGTAATCACGATCCGGCATGGTTTCACCAGCGCTGTGCAGCAGCTGAAGTGAATACAGATAGGCTAAAGACGCTGCTCATCGTTGCAGCCAGTGACGGCGCATACAATGAATGTCGCGGCCATTGAGGCGCAGACATAGCTCTCGGGGCCCATAACCTGTTGAGCACTGGGGAGAGCGTCTAGCAACCCACCTGTGTGAGTTGAGAGCTTAGTGTGGGCACTATGCAGGAGTAGTCAAGAGACTTGTTATTAAAGGGTAATAGAGCCCTCCTTATATACAATACAGGGGGCTATTTGTGTCTATTTAGGACGAGTCGACATGACTCTAGATGACACGTGATGGAGTCATAAGATGTGTATCACGACATCCATCTGGCAGATGATAAGATCATCATTTGATCAACAAAGCACAACTAGTCAACGCACTGCCAAGCTAGAGGTGTGGAACAATCTTAACAAAGCCCAAAGGGCGACGACACTAAATGCCGCGACAATACCAGATGCGGCAAATCCGACTTTCTGATATCTCAACTCAAACTCAAATCACAGTAGCTACAAGTGCTCAGGGAGCAACTCGTCGCGACCGGGCAGGGGTGGCAGAACTTCTTAGGGTGGAATCACGCGGCACGCAAATTGTACAAAACAATCTGAAATGAGAGTGATTCACAGTCCGGGGGAAAGCTTTTTAATACAAAGAAACGATGTGCTACTTATACTGTCTACAACAATGCTTAGTAAAGTCTTGCACAACTGCATAGTAGCTACGCTATCTAAGATCGGTTGCCTTTTAGAGTAATTGAAAAGTTGAACAATCGGACAGGTCCTGAGTGATCAGGACCCCGCCCCATAGTCCATATGGTACTTTTGATGTGGGTCAACCCACCGCGTCATACTTTTGGAATACGACATGTTGGATTGGCCGACGGGTATGTCTTGACAGGTGAGTCCAACGTGGGTGCCCCAAGAAGCTGTATGGTCCTAGGCACGCCAGTCGTTCCTCACATGGTTCGGTTCACGGATCTAGCCGTGTCGGTCTTAGTGTATTTGGGTATGGGCGCAACTTGCCGTGACACTTGGAAGTGTCACCGCAACGCGTCCACAATGTCCCGTGATCAAATGGATCCTGACATGTGACAAGTCGTCGTTGTGGCACGATCTGAGGAAACGTCCAACTCAAAACCGGGAGTTGCCGCGACAAGATTGGTTCAATCTCCTAATGCCAAGTCCTGTCCAGTAGTAGTTGTATTACTGAGAACGTCGCACATTGCTCAGCCCTTCAGCCCAAGTTCCCATCTGCAGAGAATGACCCTTTTTGAGAAGTCGCCGCAACAAAGATCCCTTTTTGGGGAATTGTCGCGGTCCAAGTGTTTGTCACTAATGGCCCTGAGCCTGGTATAGACTCATAAGACCAGTTCCACAGTAGTGGTCTGACTGCCTTGCTATCGTTGACACTATCCACAGTCGTCGACTGGGCAGTAGACCCTTAAGCCCTACTGAACGTAACACTGTCAACCGCGACACGATACACCGAATGGTTCGAGAGTAAACTCTGTAAAAAGCGCAAAAATACGCCCTTACAGAGCTGGTGCAGAGTGTGTCTGGTAGCCAGCCTATCAACGGGACACATCATATGACTCCATCACCTGTCATCTAGAGTCATGCTGACTCATATCAATAGACACAGATAGCCCCCTGTATTGTAAGATAGCCGACATCCGGATCCATCAAGTCACGTGGCTCAAAGAGTGATGGCGACAACGGTGAACGAGGGTGGAGAATTTTTATAAACTAAACATACAGAAATGTAGTCTATAGCCTCCTTGAGACTTCTATGGTTCCACATTTCCCTCCCTCTTGTAATTTAAGAAAAGTCTTCGAATATTTTGCGCAATCACGTGCAAGATATATGTAAGCAGTCAGGTGATCAGATCTTGATCACGTGTGGTTCATATCAATCCCTTTTTGTCACGATAGTGGCCATCTGTCGACTCTAATCAAGATGCCGAAGAGGAAAGCCAATGGCAGGATCAAAAACCTGGGCTCGTATGCCAAGGAGGGGGTCTCGAAGCCACCCAAGCGACCACACACGGACTCGGAACCAGTGTCACAGGCATGCAGCAATGAATCTGGGCGGGAGGATGGTGTTGCAGAGGGGAAGGCAGACAGTGGGGATGACGACTCGGGAGACAAGCTGCTGGATATCGAGGTCGAAGATGATGTGCCGCGGCCAAAGGACGAGAAGAGTCTGCAGGGGAATGGAGCAGAGGCGGCTTGGACAAACAAACGATACAGAGGCCATTGGACCTTACCTGCAGATTACTTGAGGGATGTGGAAAATGAGTTTAGGGCAAAGCAGCTGTAGTCTATTCATGAAATGACTCGTGTTACTCCGTAAAACCTCCCGCCGTGCATGAAGTGAATGTTCTCTGAGATTTTGCGCTGTGACATGTGACATGTAACAGTTCACGTGACTCGATGGAACCGGATGTTGGCTATCTTATATAAGGAGGGCTCTATTACCCTGTATTCTAAGTCTTTTGACTACTCCCACGTAGTGCCCACACTAAGCTCTCACTCACACAGGTGAGCTTCTAGATGCTCTCCCCAGTGCTCAACAAGTAAATCATCTCATCACTCAGGGTGCTCCCAAAAGAAAGGAATTTCTGCTCAGAATGATGACTGGACTAATAGGTACTAAACCCCACCAGGTTTTCCTTCTTGTCCTTGGATTGGCAGAGAGTCTGTTGTAACACTTATCACTTGGTCTATATGCAATTCTATTGGCAGGCCAGGCGACGTTCTTGGCTGTGCAAAGCGTATAGATGAGGCCAACGTTCCCTTGGTTGCCTCAGCAAAGGAAGCTGTTGAGGACCATACTGTTGGACGTTTTAAGCTTCTGAAAGGTGTGCAGCAAATAAACACACTGGTGGCAAAGACAGTCGAGATGATTTCAACATAACAGTTGGCCAGGTGGAGACCAGCAGCAGTGGTCATATGTCCCCTGAACAAAGTTGCAATCTGTGACACACTGAAAATGACTGTGGATTTTGTAAATACTCTGTTGAAGGGCACTAGGTGAGAGGCAACAGACTCGGGAACACAAAATTTGTGCTGGCAATCCAAAACAGGTTTTTCAAACGGTCAGAGTATGATTCTGATGTTCTCGCAGTGAGCAAAAAGCACAGAGCGCTGTCGAAAAAAAACCACCGCACCCTTATGGTCAAACCTGCCTATTGATTCACTGTTGAATACACGCCCCGTCCGGCCGAGTCGCCAGAGGAATAGCGCTGAGATGTATCTGGGCACTTGAAAATAAAATAAATGAAAAACATGTTGATGGAAAATGACTGACGCATTATCCAACAGTTCGAGGGTATACCCCAATTTGAAATACACCGGGTTGAGCTGTTCTAGGACCTCGAATTGATTCATGGTCTCGGGGCGGAATAGCCCCTTTGCCCAGCCGATGGTGAAGAGGATGTTTATGACGCCTCGTCCGATCTTGAGAAGAACCGAAAATGCGAGCACAAAGGGAAGCTGTGCACGTGGAAACACAATGCAAACACGGAAAAGGAGGACGAATTCGGCAAGCCAAGGGACCCATGCATCCAGAATTGTGTATACGAGGTCTAACTGTAAGCTAATGGCTCACAGGCGGCAACACAAGCTCACCTTCGCCTTTGGTGATTGCGCGGAACGACGAAAGAATGGTTTCCATCTGAGCGGTAAGATAAGCCGCAACTGCTGTGAATAGGGGGGTCACCGACAGTAAGATGAGTGCTCAGGGCACCGAGAATCAAGCCGAAGCAGATGGCAGCGGTGTTGAGAATGAAGATGGGCCCGCGGCGGAGCTGGGGAGTCGAAAGCGTCAAGAGCATGATGAAAAGGGGCACGAGCATGGCTGAGAAAATGGCAGGTATCAGAATAAAGGCAAACGCTGGCCGAATGCCCTGTGCGTAGGCCGCGATTATGGGCTCGGTGATTGATGGTGGGAGTGAGCCTGAATCCATGCCAAATTATCTAAGGAGATGTTCGGACAAGATGTCGAGCTTCCGTCAGACTTCAAGCTTTATGTATCCATAGGCGGCCCAAAATAGCATCGTCGCTCAGAGCCTTAGTCAGTGGATGAGGGGTACATGAGAAATCTCAGTTGACCTGGGCAAAACAGCAACGATCGACGAAACGCAGCATCATCGCGGCCTGCCAGAATCATTCAAAAGGCTGTCAATGACTCCCGAGGGACACCCATCCATCGTCCCTAGATGCAGATGGAATGATAGAATTGCGAGATGACCTGATGCGAGTTTCACACTGCACATCATCGTGAGGGACCGAGCGTAAGCCGGCTTCGCGGACGAAAGATCGACTGGGCATCAGGTGCGTCCGGAGCCGAGAGTCCAATGTGGAGTTGGTCGTCTGTTATCGAGGCGCGGTAAGCAAATGGCATATCCCTTTCTAGGTCTGATGCTTGTAGAACGTCCGCTTAGGGTTTTCAGGCCAAAGCCGTCCGCACAAAGATGGGACAACGCTCCTTTCCGCAGCACTGTGTGGATTGACAGTACGACGAGTAGTGGTAAGTTGTGATCGATTGGCTACGATAAATGCGTCAAGATCAGCATCGTATTCGGAAAAAGAGCATCCGCTCTTCGTCGCAGTACGACCAAGCTCAAGCGCTGACCTGAGCGCCCTGCGAAGCGGAACTCTGTCGGAAGCATCCATCAACATTCCGAGATCGCAGATAGGCTGGGCTCTGGGATCCGCCGAAGCGAGCTTGACAGAACCGGTCGATTGGGGTCGCACCGCGGTCAACATGATTGAGAATGTCCCCGCAGATCTGGGAGAGCCGGACGGTCGCGCGGCAGATGGACTGGTTTCCGAGAATCCCCCGGCCGGTGAACACGTATTTGAACAGTTGTGGGATTGCAGCCAACGGGCGTTCGATGAGAAGATCAATGCTGTCAGTGATGGGAACCCGGTAAATGACCGGGACGCTAACATGATCTTGTTGTAGAACGGTAGGCCGACTGTTCGATATCGTGTAAAGACAAAGAGACGGACCAAATGAGCTCCGACTCCGGGAAGATGTTTGACCAGCGGGATATTGAGTGGCGCCAGATCGTCTCGAATCCCAACGCCACTAGGTAGATGCAGCTGAGTCACAGACAAGACATGATCTGATTCCATTCCCCTCAAGATATGGGGACTTGCGATAGCTACAGGCAGAGAGCGGCCTCCTTCTCGACGGAGAGATGGGACTGCTGAGTTCGAGATTCAGACCCAAAAAAAACGTCGGTCGCTCTCCCGTCGCTGATATTTAGCGACGTTGGAGTGACTCTGATCTGTGTTCCCCCGGCGTCTGTTTACCGTCATGTGATCCGGTCACGCCATCACCACGTGCGAACGCGCAGGTTCCGGCGCGTGCAAATGACCTTGCTGCGAAGGCACACATGGATCGTATGGCTTATCTGGCCGTGGGAGTCAATTGCCGAATCCTTTACTGAGAGTAAGATACATTCCTCCCCGAGCAATTGTCTTTCTTCTAGATCGACTCGTACAGACCGAACTCGGACCAATCAGCGGAAATCCTGCGAATGGTTCTGCACAGCGACTCTCATCACTCCGGGTGCTCCCTACACTTGACTGAGATACTACACGGCAACAGGTTTTCTTTGCTGTCCTTCGTTCGGAAGCGAATCCGTCGTAACGCTCACAACTCGGTCCATGTACAATTCTATCGGCTGGCCAGCCGACGGTCTTGCCTGTGAATAACTTGTAGTCAAGAACGACGTGCTCTTGGTCGCCTCGGCGAAGGAGGCCGTAGAGGACCATACTGTTGGACGGTTTGAGCCTCAAAATGGCGACAAACGAATGAACACACCGGTGGCAAAGACGGTCGAGATGATTTCAACGTAGCAGTTGGCTAAGCTAAGACTGGCGCCGAGAATTATGTCGCCCCTGAAGACGGCCACAATCTGTGACACACTGAAAATTACTGTAAATCGAGTGAACACTCGGTCGAAGAGCGCCGAAGGAGTGACAGACTCGGGAACACGAAATTTGTACTGGCAATCCAAAACAGGTCTTTCAAACGCTCGGAGTAGGTTTCTGCAGTCTCTCTGGTGAGACAGAAGCACAGAGCACTGGTAAGAACGACCCACGCTTGAAGTCGAGCCTGCCGATTGCATGGCCGTTGAATAGATGCCCGGTCCGGCCGAGTCGCCACAGAAAAAGCCCTGAGATGTATCTGAGGATTCGAAATTGAGAGTGTCATCTCTTTATTTTTCAAGACAACTGACGCATTGTCAACTAGCTCCAGGGTGTACCCCAATTGAAAGTATATCGGATTGAGCTGATGGAGAATCTGGATCTGATTGATTGTCTCAGGGCGGAAAAGCGCCTTTGCCCAGCTGACGGTGAAGAATATATTTAAGACGGCTCGTCCGATCTTGATGAGGACCGGGAACGCAAGCACGTATGGAAGCTGCGCGCGGGGAAACACAATCCAGACACGGAAAAGCAGGACGGATTCCGCAATCCAGGGGAGCCAGGCATCCAGTGCCGTGTATACGAGGTCTGACAGTCAGCTCACAGCCCGCAGTCGACAACACGAGCATACCTTCACCCTTGGAGATTGAGTGGAACGGTGATAGGACGCTTTCCATCTGAATCAAGAATGAGCCCGAGTCATGGTGCGTGTGTCGGGTCACCGACCGCAAGGTGAGTGCTGAGTGCACTCAGTATCAAGCCAGAGCAGATGGACGCCGTGTTGAGAATGAAAATGGGTCCCCGCCGGAGCTGGGGAGTCGAAAGCGTCCAGAGTATGATAAGAAGAGGGACGAGCATAGCTGCGAAAATGGCAGGTATCAGAATGAAGGCGAACGCGGGCCGGATGCCCTCCGCGTACGCCTCGATTATGGATTCGATGACTGACGGCGGGAGGGAGCCTGAATCCATGGGTTCGGAGTTGATGTCGAGCCTCAGCCAGACTGTGAGCTTTATGTATCCACGAGCGGCTCAAAATAGCGTTGCCGCTCAGCGCCTTGGTCGGCGAGTGGAGGGACATGGGAAATCTCAGTTAATCCAGGCGGAACAGCCACCATCCACGACACACGACTTGCCAGGGCCTAGCATCAACCAAAAAGCTGCTCAGGACTCCCACGGGGCATCGAGACTCGGACTGCATCCGTCTTCCCCACATTGCAGATGGAATGATAGCAATGCGGAATGATCTGACTGGAGTTTCGCATTGTACATCGTTGTGAGGGACCACGCGCGAGCTTGCTTCGCGAACAAAAGATCGGCTGGGCATCGGGTTTCACAGGCGAGTTTTTAGTGTGGTATTGGTCTCGTGTCAAGGCAAAGTAAGCAGGCGACCTATCCCTTGCTAGTAGGCCTGATGTTCGGGCAAAGTACGCCCTGTGGGTCTTCAGTGCGATGCAGGACGACGCTCCTTTCCGGGGCATTGTGGGGATCCTGAATTGAAGATTCGACCGCATACAGGCCATCTTTAGTCCCATACCCGGGCCATATTGGGCAGGATTGAACTCACCGTCCGTAGCAGACCTATGTATGTCCACACAGTGACCGTTGCTCATTAACGACCGAGGATGGGATCGGAGTCTGCGTCTGTCCAGTGATCAGATCACAGAACTTTCTTGATGCGCACCCATGCATAAGTATGTAAAGAGCTCAACCACGTTCGCTCACGTGCTTGAGCCCTGTCCACGGTGAAGCATTCGGGACGACTCGATTGCTCGAAATGTTTCCCGCAATGAACGAACATCATGAACAACAGATCTGCATATTGGAGCCAATACATGATCGAGTCAGATTCGGACAGGGTATCACAGTGCACGACTATTCTTCACAAACTCAGCACAACGCTCGGCAATCATCACAACCGGGGCCTGCAAATGACAAGCGGGAACCCATGGAAAGACGCTCGCGTCGGCGATTCTCAGGCCTGCCAGACCATGGACCCGCAGCTCATCATCGACGACCCCACCTTCGTTTTCCTCGGCCATGCGACAGGACGACGAGTAGTGGTAAGTTGTGATCGATTTCGCTGTGATAAATGCGTCGAGATCAGCATCGCTTTCGCTGGCTGGAGCGTCGTATTCTGAAATAGAGTACCCGCTTTTCTGCACGGCACGACCCAGCTCAAGCGCTGACTTGAGCGCCTTACGAAGCGGAACTCTGTCGGAAGCATCCATCAACATTCCAAGATCGCAGATAGGCTGGGCTCTGGGGTCCGCCGAAGCAAGCTTGACAGAACCGGTCGATTTAGGCCGCACTGCAGTGGTCATGATTGAGAATGTCCCCGCGGATTTGGGAAACCCGGACGGCCGCGCGCCAGATGGATTGACCGGCAAGAGCATGATTTCGGCATCAGGCACGTTGTCAGGATTCTGCGCGTCTAGGTCCTGGGGAGAGGCATTCTGCACGTCGGCCAGACTGGTTCGGACCATGATGTTTGCTTGCTGGACCTGGTTTCCGAGAATACCCCGGCCGTTGAACACATACTTGAACAACTGGGGGATCGCAGCCAGCGGGCGCTCGATGAGAAGATCGATGCTGTCCGTGATGGGAACTTGGTAAATGATCGGGACGCTAACATGATCTTGCTGTAGAACGATAGGCCGGCTATTCGACATCGTGTAGGTAAAAGAGACATACCAAATGAGCTCCGACTCCGGGAAGATGTTTGACCAGCGGGATATTGAGTGGCGCCAAGTCATCTCGAGGCCCCACGCCACTGCATACGACTGAGTCGCAGACAAGACGTATTGTGATCCCACCCACCTCAATAACAAGATATGAGGACTCGCGATAGCACCGGCGCAGAGAACGGCCTCCTTCTCGACGGAAACACGGAACTGTTCAGTTCCAGATTCTGAGCAAAAAAAGACGCCGGTCACTTTCCCATCGCTGATATCCAAGGACGTCACGACAGCACCCGTGCAAACGTGCAGGTTCTTGCGCGTGCGAACGACCTTGCTGGGAAGGAACGCCTGCATCGTATCGCTTCTCCGGCCGTGGGAGTCGATCGTCGTATCCAGCAGCGTGCACACAACCGCGGGCGACGACGGGTCGTTATCCATTTTCACGGTCTGGATTCCCAGGCTGGGAACAGCATCTAGGGCTCTGAAACGATGATCAGCACAGGCTGCGTCGGAAGATGGGGAATGTGTGAGACCTTGTTGTCGACTCAAACGTGATCTCGGGACTGCCTCTCGTTTGCCACGGCCCTTTCGCACGTTGAGAAACGTAATGTGACAAGAAGCATGCCGACCTTTCGATCCGCGGAAGGAGAGACCCGCCGCAGCGGAGTAGTGCTCGCTCTTCTTGAAGAACGGCTCGACTGCGTCCCAGCCCCATCCTTTCCGTCCTGCACGCTCCCACGCGTTGTACTCTCCTGGCGTCGAGCGCGTGTAGAGCAGCGCATTGACCTTGGTCGAGCCCCCAAGTGCCTTGCCCCCCACCAACGTCATCGTCTGGTCTTCCAGAGCCTTGGCTGGCGCGGACGGGATCCTGTACACGGGCGCGTTCTTGTCGGTGATGTTGGATGAGAAAAGAGGAATCTTTGAGAGCCAGCTGTCGACGACGGGGCCGCGCTCGAGCACGAGCACGGTTACGTTCGGGTCTTCGCTGAGACGTGCGGCGACGACACAGCCTGCTGCGCCTCCTCCTATGACAACGTACTGGTACGACTTGCCAGACACATCCTTGAGGGATTTGGAGGGGTAGGATCCCATAGGAGACTACAGTGACAAGATGACGGGTGAAGAACAGAAAGAAGAGAAGGACCTTCGTAAAGCAGAAATCGTACAATTTCCGCAATTTCGCATGATGAAGTGGTGGTTCATGGCAGAAATCACATCGCTGACAAGCGAGACAGGATAGAATCTAATCTTATCGGTGACTAATAGTGCACAACAGCCCTGATGCCAACAGTTTAAGCTTAGTTGGTAGGTCTTGCTTGCCGACCGAATCTACAAAGAACCGAAGACCTGCCCGCCCTCTAACCTTATCCCTCTACACCATGTATACACACTCCGCTACCGTGTTCCTTGCGATACTATCCCTCATCTCACCGACCCTATCAGCACACGCGCCAGAATGGCGCCGCCGCTCCATCTACCAAATCGTAACAGACCGTTTTTCCCGCAGCGACAACTCGCTCATTGCGCCCTGTGATACACAAGCCCGGAAATACTGCGGAGGGTCGTGGAAAGGTATCACGAATCGCCTAGACTATATCGCGAACATGGGCTTCACCGCGATCTGGATTTCGCCTATCGTCAAGCAGCTGGAGGGCTCCACAGGATATGGCGAAGCATATCACGGTGCATTTTCGTTTCCCTTTGTTTTTCTTGCCTCGGGAAAGCTCAAGCAAAACCAGGCTACTGGACGCGCGATCTGTATTCGCTCAATCCGCAATTCGGCACTCAACAAGACCTCATGGAGCTGATCGATGCTGCCCACGCGCGGGACATATATGTCATGCTCGACGTCGTACTCAATCACTTCGCCAGCCTTGGCCCGGATGTCAATTATGCCGCGCTCAGGCCATTCGATAACGCCCGATACTTCCACTCGGAATGTGACATCGATTGGGGCAACCAGACCTCCATCGAGGCTGTGAGCTCTATCCTGCCGCCTCATTTCTCGATTCTTACCCGCCGCAGTGCTGGATGGGTGATAGTACCGTGAGGCTTCCGGACATCAACACCGAGGACCCCGATGTACAGACTACGCTCAAGCAATACCTTTCGGATCTGGTCACTAGCTGGAAGATCGATGGAATCCGTCTTGATGCCAGCAGAAACGTTGCGCAGCCTTCTTGGGCCGCGTTTTGCTCCGCGGCAAACGTGTACTGCCAGGGTGAAGTCTGGGTACGAGAGCCTTCGTAAGCCAAATTCGCCTGGGGTCTTTTACTTACTCACCTGGACGGCATGACGCAGCATCATATGTCCATATCAGACCGTGATGGACGGTCTGCATAACTACCCGGCCAAGGAACTTGCCACAATCGCATTCGCCTCGTCAGGAAGCCTGAATGACTTCATCAGCGTGGTGCAGGCGATGCAGACTCAGTGCAAGGTGCGTCCGGTAGATCTGCGACCGGATGCTTTACTTCACTCACATTGCAGGATGTAACTCTTTTCGGATCCTTCATGGAAAATCACGACAACCCTCGACTAGGCAGCTTGACGACTGACAGAGGTCGTCTCACAAATCTGGCCGTCATCAATGTCCTCTCGGACGGTATTCCAATCGTATACTACGGCCAAGAGCAAGCTTTCACTGGCTCTGACGATCCAAACAACCGTGAAGCGCTCTGGCTCTCGCAATTCTCGACCTCAGGCAACCTCGTTCCGACCTTCAAGGCACTGAACATCTTCCGCAACTACGTCGTCGCAAGTGGCGTTCCCTTCATCTCTACCCTCTCGGTCTACAAGCTCATCAACGACAACGTCATGACGGCCCGCAAAGGAAGCCTCACACTCGTTCTCACCAACTCGGGCAGCAACATCGTCATCTCCTCTGAGGCAGACGGTTTCACACCTGCTGAAGACCTCGTCGACGTTCTCTCTTGCAAACACTTCCAGTCTGATGTGACGGGCAAAGTTGACCTGATACTCTCCGGATACCCACTTGTGTTGTACCCTCGAGCCTTGCTGCTTACCTCTGGCATATGCTCCTTGTGACACCTACTGGTCATCATGTTCTACTTATCCAATAGGAATTCCTACGCGCCAGTCCACAGCCCGCGCAGCAGTTCAAAACTCTTAACCCAGGTCCCTGACAGTCGTGGCGAAAGCAGTAGATAAGCTGATATAAAGAAGACAACAAAAATACATTCGACGTAGGCCCTACTCGTCTCCAATCTTGGGTGCCAAGTAGTACCGAACGTATCCTTGACCAAAGTCATAATCCACCTACGAGACGTATCACTACAAATGCGCCGTCGTGTACTATAATACAAGACTCACCAATAGCGGAACATCATTGCTTAACCGAAGCTCCACTTTGCTCGTCATGTTGGCCGTCTTGGAGAAGTTGACGAGATATTTGAGTGAGAACGTCAGTGAAACGTGAGAGTTCATGGAAAAGTTGAAGGCTAGGAGGGATGATGATGCTGGACGCGAACGCTAGGGAACAAGCTCACTGGGCTTCTCGTCCTTCTCCTTTTCGTTTTTAGATTTCCTTGCCTTCTTGGCAGGCTTGGAGGATCCGTTGGACTGGAAATACTTTCAGTATGAGGCGAGGGGGCAACGCAGACAACTTTTACTTTATGCTTGCGCTTTTTGCCACTCTCTTCCTCCTCCTCACTCTCCTCTTTCTCCTCGTCGTCGGACTCGGCTTTGAACTCCTCAGTGCCCTTCTCTTCCTCGTCCATGTCGACATCCTCATCCTTCTCCTTCTTGATCTTCTCGGCCTTGACTTTCTCCTTCTTGACCTTGGGTTTCTTCTCGCCATCTTCATCTTCGTCGTCACCAGCTTCCTCTTCGTCGTCCTCGTCCTCGACCTTCTCACCACGCTCAATCTTCCTCTCACGCTCGGTCTTGACACGACCGATCTCTCCCTCCTTCTTCAGCAGAACGCTACCGTTGGCGCTCTCGCCCTCGCTCGCAAAACGCACACCCTCTTTGCTGACCTCGATACGGACGCTCTCGCCAAGGGCGCTCAAGTCACGCACGATACGGGCGAACTCGGACGACGCCATGACGACTTCTGCGTCGTAGTCGGTGTCAGGGATCCCTAGCGTGTCCGAGTCGATGTCCATCAGCTTCATGTCGTACTCTGCTATCCTGTCCGAGTCTGTGCACGCGACGCGTCAGTCCTCGACGAGTTGCAAGTACGCGTAGGAGCAGTGACACACACCCTTCGCTTCATATACCAAGTTGAGCACATCCGCGTCATCCGACGCTTTGATGGTACACTCGTCATCGTCTTTGGCGCACTTGAGTACCTTGTTGAGACTGTTCAGGTTCACGCCCAGGGGCAGGGGCCGGTCGCAGCGGTACCGCTCGAAGCCTTGCGACTGTAGGTGGACCGAGACCAACGCGACATGCGAGTTGTCCATCGCCTGGAGGTTCAGTCCCTCTTCGTTGCACTCGAAGTTAGCATCGGTGACGAGTTCCTTGATGGCTGAGACGAGCAGAGAGGAGAGGGAGAGAGGGAAGACAGACGCGTCAGTCAAAGGACGCGAGATCGAGATGGATGAGAATGCTTACAATCAAGCAGCTTCTTGAGTGTCCCGGCTTCGGTGAGTTTGGCTTCAAGCATGGTCAGAGTAGTGAAAGGAAGTATCAACGGTGGTCGGAGGAGGGGAAGAAAAGACGCGAGCGTGACATTGTGACGCCACGCGTTTCGTGATCCCATGTCACGCGCACGGACCTCTTTCCCACTTCAAGTTACTTTGCACATTCGCACTCGGTGAGAGCTGGACCTGGATAACGATCTTTGTTCTTGTACGTTTATTAGCTCGGGGTCTCGTGATAAATTTTTCCTGAATAATGGCCACGGGGAGCTCTGATGTTATCTGTCCATGAACTCGTCCGTCCATCCATCCAAATTGAATAGACAGATACAAGTCCAATTGTTGCCTCCCGTGCTTCCTTATTGACCCTGTATGAAGCAAGGGCACTCTGAACTGGTCACTGGATGAGCTGCGAATGCAGTTGGATCACCTTTCCCTTCTCGATTGCAATGTTAGATGGCATTGAGGAGTTGGATTGCTTTTGTCCACTCTCAAAATGGTAAAGTACAGATGTGATGCTAGAACGCCCCTTCGAACAACAATGTGCGCGGCTTGCTTATCCGCGGCGCGACCGAGAACAGAGCAGGCCTGTGTTAGTGTGCATGTGTGAGTAAAAACAAGAAGACCAAGGGAATAACGAACATGGAGGTTCCACAATTGGCCGCTGGGTTGCCCATGATGATGCTCTCTGACACACCCGCGATGCTGTCGTTCTTGCCGTAGGCCGAGGCGTCGAACAAGTGGTCTGTCGTCTTCTCGAACGAGGCAAGCATGAGAACGCTGTCCTTCATCTTGGCCACACCGAACCGCGTGATTCCGAGCACCTCGCCCTTGTACGACATCACGTCGCCCAAGAGCATCACATGCCGTGGGTCGATGATCATGTCGTGCGACTTCATGGTGTATTGGATCTCGTTGATGATCGTCCGCCGCGCAGCCTCGATGCCGAGCACCTTCGCGACCTCGATCACATGGTTTGACGTCGTGTACTCCCCTACGACACCCTCTGTCACCATGCACTGCTGCAGGCCGTATCCTTCGACCAGTAGCTCCTTGTCGCCTTTCCGGCCCCGCACATCGTCCTTGTCCTTGATGTTGATGACCGCCCGCTGGATTGTGTTCACACCCTTGACCACAACATCGGGCAGCCCGCGCATCAGCTCTCGCAGCCGGTAGTACTTGTCCTCCCCATCCACGTAGATGCGAATCCGGTTTTTGCGCGGAATCACAGTGATCGTCTCTTGCTTGACCTTCAGCTTTCTCGCGCCAACAATGGCCCACTTGACGTCGTCGATCGTCATCTCCAGCTGCAACTTCTGGATCGCATCCATGTCCAGGATGATCCCGAGATATGTGTATTCTGGTGCCCAGGCTTCCTCGAGAACACTGGCGATCTAAAGGCACACGGGTCAAATACAGAATTCAGAGGCAAACAGACCACTTACATCTCCTAGCATCGTCTTTTCCAGCCGGCCTTTCACAATGCGAGCCGACGCCTCGCTGTTGCTCGTCACAAGCTTGCAGCTGATAATCGGGGTGCTGATTGTCTTGGAGGCGTTGATAATCTCCTTGATACGAGGCACTCCGAGTGTGACGTTCATCGACGCGACGCCAGCAAAGTGGAACGTCTTCAAGGTCATCTGAGTCCCGGGCTCTCCGATGGACTGCGCACCAACAGCGCCGACTGTCGATCCCGGCTCGATGCGCGCCTTGACGTACTTCACCCAGCACAGCTCGAGGAAGATCATCAGCTGCGACTCGGTCACCTTGCTCTTGTTGTCTACGATGGCGCGTTCCTCGAGCGAGGCACCCATGCTCAGATCCGTCGTCGAGTCCCAGCTGTCCTCCTTCTGGATAGCATCAAACATCCCCCAGCTGCTCCGCACTTTCGCCATCCGCTGCGCGATGCGGTCGGTCGTGTACCCGCGAATGGTGGCCAGATATGCCGAGGTACACTCGCTGGTGAACCTCTTCGTGCCGAGCTCACGGTCGACAATCGCAATCACTTCGTAAGGCAGCAGACCTCGTTCAGAACGTGAGCCCATGGCCTTGTGGATTAATCGTCAGCCGACGCAGGACAATGGACGAGCAATATGTATGACGCACCGTCGCATGACTCCAAGCACGGTCAAACTCAATCGGCTGGGCGTCACCCTCCAGACACGCAGGGTCTAGTCCGTCATCACCGTACCGGAATTGCACGACACCACCAGTCGAGTTGCGCACACTCAAGTCATACTGCGTCGTAAGATCTTCCAGCGCCTTCATGAGCCGACGTTGCATGTAACCGGTCTCCGCAGTTTTGACCGCCGTGTCAACCAGACCTTCTCGCCCAGAGATGGCATGGAACAGAAACTCGGTCGCGCGCAGTCCCGAAAAGAAGCTGTTGCGCACGAATCCTTTTGATGGCGGCTCTTTGGATTTCTTCGGGAAGTGCGGCAGAGAACGGTCTTGGAAACCATCCGGCACACGGTGACCAGCGATAATTTGCTGTCCGACACAAGCCACCATCTGCGACACGTTGATGACAGAGCCTAGCGGTGTGAACTTTTCTGAGAGTATGGTGTACCGATTAGAACGCACCCTTGGAACCACAAGTAGCCATGATCAGCGGCGCATTCTGCCGACTCAACTCTCTCATGCAGATCTGGCCGACTTTTTCACGAACATCGGAGAGAATGCGGGAGATGTGTGCCTCCAATGTTTGCTCTTGATTACAGCCAGGCTTGTTTTCGAGCTTCCCCTTCTTCGCGAGTTGGATGGCGTCTTGACAGTCCGCGTAGGCCTTCTCGACGAGCATGTCCTTCATCTGAGAAAGCTCTGGACCAGGGATGACATCGTTGATGCCCAGTGAGAATCCGTAGTTAGCTAGAGGTATATTCAGCACGAATAGCAGATGCTGAACATCGAATATACGCACCCAGATAGCGCGCACACAGTTTTGCCAACCTGCCCATGGCCACAGCAGCTTCATGAGGACCATAATCTCGCATGATCACACCAAAGATAGACTTCTTCTTTCCGCTTCCCACCGTCGCCTTGTCCATCACCCCGCACATGATCTCACTGTTCACCACGACAAGCCATCCATCGTTGGGCGACATGTCGTTCGCCAATTTCGGTATAGCCGGATAGTTCTCCGGTTTCGCCTCTTCCCATTTATGGCACTTGCTCTCGACATTCACCTGGATCTTCGAGTTCTTGTTCGGTCGCATTAGCACATTGAAGATCTGCTTGCCTGTCCAGAGTCGGACCGGTTTCCATATCGTGGGTGGTGGGATGTCGATCTGCAAGTCGGCGTCTGCGAGATAACAGCAAATCTGGGTGAACTGCCGTCGGTCGAAGAACTGGTCTTTCCTGGAGAGCAGGAACGATGCGGTAATGAAGTCCTGGATGGCTGCGATGACGGGTTCTCCGTTGCGTGGGGTAACCAGGTTGTTCTTGACGCTCATCAGTTCGAGTGCTTCCGTACGAGCTTCCTCGGTTTGTGGAACATCTGAATGGTTTTTAGGGTTTTCTGGATTGAAGAAAAGCTGAGATGCCTACGGAGATTCATCTCATCACCATCGAAGTCAGCATTGTAAGGTCCGCATACACACTCATTCAATCGAAATGATCTCCACGGCCGCACTTTTGCTCGATGACACATGATAGACAGCTGTAGAGACCGTCAACAACTGCCGACAGCAAAGTCTTTAAACTCACTTTGTGAAGACTGGGCTGACGATTGAAGAGCACGACATCGCCATCGATCACATGCCTCTCGACGACATCACCGACAGCAAGACCATCCGCAATCATAGCACGATTGCCGAACTTGAGGTACTTCTTGTTCTCTCCTCGCGCAACATAATTCGCGCCGGGATGGACCTCAGTTCCATTACGCACAGCGGCACGCAACTTCTCGATGTTGTGGTTGGTGACGCGTTCTGGGTAGGTGAGCACTTTGGCGACACGTTCTGGAACAGCGACTTCGTCGATTCGGAGATTGGGGTCGGGGGAGATAACAGTGCGGCCAGAAAAGTCGACTCGTTTGCCAGATAAGTTGCCTCGGAAACGGCCCTGTTTTCCTTTCAGTCGTTGAACAAATCCACGTATTGGTTTCGCGTTGGCTTCTTTGTTGAGACCGGGGGTTTCCGAGTTGATGTACAATGCAACCGAGGTTTGCAGGTTGTCCCATGTTTCCTAGTATGCTCAGTTCCTGTATTGAGAGACAGAGAGAGATTCACGTACCATGAAGGACTGTGTTGGTGCCCCCTTGGTGACTCCCTGCTTGAGAAGGGCACTTGTGAATACAATTTCAGCAAGTTTGACGGTCAAGTCGTCTTCAGTGGAAGCACCATCTTGGGCAACAGACGGCCGGATGCAGACTGGCGGAACAGACAAGTACTGCCAAAGAAACTGCTCCGGCCGTCCAAACGCAGGTCGAAGACCGAGCAGTTCACAATCCTTGGCTGCAGTTAGTGGCCGGTCAGCAACGGATGGATCACTCACCTCGTCCGATATGCGTTTGAACAGATCCAGGACTTTCAGCGGATTCAAATCCTCAAATATCGGTTTATTCACGTGCACCAAAAGATCCTTCTGGAATTCCACAGCGGTGGCAAAGGTTTTTCTGAATGCCTCCAACTCGGGAGCAGTCTTTTTCGCGCGGAATTTGTCGTGGATGATCTTCAGCGGACCGACTTTCTTCACAGTCCCGTTCGTCGCGGCGCAGTACGGGCAGTGCACGACTTTGCGAGCCATCGTATTGACTGCTTTGGAGATGGCCTGCCGCTGGATGTTTTCGAGGTTGGGCCGTCGGAATCGTTTGATGTAGACGCGTCGATCGGTTTCGTCAAGCAGCACACGCGCACATGTCTGATTAAGACTTCAGAATGGGACAAAGCGGGGAGCGGACCGAAGAACGACCTTGCAGATGCATTGCAGGACCGCGATGGTGTGCTTGAAGAATCCCACATGGAATACGGGAAGCGTGAGCTTGATGTAGGCGTAGTGTCCGACACAATTCACAGCCGACTGTCCACAGGTCTCGCAGAACGCGCTCTTGTCTGAAGTACCCTTCGCACCGTATTCAGAAATCGCATGGGTCGTGTGGTTTATTGCAACGCACCAAGCGCCGATCTAGAACCCCATCCTTCACCGGCAGTCGCTCCGTCGCAGTGTAAAGATCCCTATGAGTGACTTCGAACTCGGATAACTTGACGGTCTCCTGGGCATCAAGCAAGCTGAATTGCAGCTGTTTGCTGAGCGGGGATCAGAACCTTTTTCTGGTGCAGACGCGGCGGAAACGGACATGATTTTAGGCGCCTGATGAGATACCGCCTCCTTCATCCCCAAAGACGCGCGGCCCGATGGCGAAAGCGGGGGTCTGGAACAGAGTGCGCGACAAAAGATTCGACTGAAGTCACTCGGTAATGATCTGATTATGTAACCGATATTTTTGATTGCCTAGCCCTCTAAGCTTGTCTCTCATTGGCACAATGTTCAGCTCAGTCTCTAGACGTGCATCGCGCGCTCTTCATGTCCCAAGAAGAACTGTGGCTCCAATTCAATCTCCAGAACTACGATGCCGCAAATCTTGCTTTAGATACCTTGAGAGCCGGCGAAGCTATTCGAGTGGTTCGCACGAGCGCAGCGCGATTGGTGTAAGCATCCTCTTGGGACGAATCGCGGGTTGCGTGAAGTTGAACCTGTCACAGGTCTTCACCCCCAAGTCTGCGGCCCTCTTTGTTGTAACGGGTGTTGCCCTCTTACTCTACTTTCGCCACGAGAAGGCGAAACTGCTTGAACAGCAAGGTGTGCTGAACCTGGCAGTCGACAAACCACTCTTACGCGCCTTTCATTAGAAAAGGAACGGTCAAGTCGTGCATACGGCCGTCCATCCGTCGGCGGACCGTTTTCGTTGACCACCCACGAGGGAAAACCATATACAGAACAAGACCTGCTCGGGAAGTGGTCCCTGGTCTACTTTGGGTTCACGAATTGTCCGGACATCTGTCCCGCTGAACTGGACAAGATGGGGCTCTATCTTGAGGCAGCGGGTGCGTCTGCGAATCGACTCGAAACGAGACTGGACGCGAACGTTTGTGCACAGAGCAGGAGCATGGCGATATCTTTAACCCCGTCTTTGTTTCTGTCGATCCTGCAAGAGATTCGACCTCGCGCATTGCCACGTATCTGAAAGATTTCAATTCGAAATTCACGGGCCTCGTCGGGTCGTACGAGGAGGTGAAGGCTATGTGCAAGAAATACCGGGTGTACTTCTCAACGCCGCCGAACGCAAAGCCCGAAGACGACTACCTCGTGGATCACTCGATATTCGTGTACTTGATGGATCCGAACGGGCAGTTTGTCGAGGCATTCGGGCAGACGGTGACGCAAGAGGAAATGTTGCAAAAGACGCGGAACGAGATCAAGGAATGGAAGGCCGAGACAGGGCGGACTCATTGAGTGTGTAGAAGCTGAAGAAACAAATCCCACCTCACGTGCCACTTCGACTGAAAAGTACAAGGGCGACCCGACAGTAAAAGCACAGAATCAAGAGCGGCGCATCGGACACCTTTCCGGCACAAGTAGTGCACCAGTCATTGAATCTGGCCACCTTGTCTGAAAGGAGATCCAGTGCAGATCCAGAATAGGGCGCTCTGCGCTAAATCACTCTTTGTTGCCTGATCAGATCGTTTCACGCCTGAGAGCTGACTATCAAAGGACACCATATGGGACCTTGCTCGAGGCCACCGTTGTCCTCGAGCTACACAGCCGTGAGATGCTAGAGAACGACAACGAGATTCCCAAATCTGGGCTTCCTAGACCAAGCAGTGCAAGATCACGTCTTCTGTGGGTGCGTGTGGACAGCTTTTTCCCAGGATAGACGCCCGCCGACTCAGAATTGGGCCACAAGGCTGTTTGACGCCGAACAAAGCGCCTTCTTTCAATCTTGACCTTTGCAGCCGTGACTCAATGACCGGCATGTATAAAATTGGGACCGCGGGACCAAGAAGTAACAAAACCCCTCCTGGAAGCCATGGCGATGACACGGCAGTCCCTGGCCGCATACGTCTCCTCTCTCAAACGACAGCTTCCATATCCCGACATCATCGAACACCACGACGACTGCCGCCGCGCTCTGCTCGCGCTCGACCCCAGCGCGACCGACGTAACTCTCGAGTTCTTGTACGATCTGGCCGCACAAAATCCGAAGGAGCGACAGGCGGGACTGAACGCGGTGCCATCCATGCTCTGCGCTATGACAACCGCGGGCGCCGAGCTGCCTGTGACTTCTGTCATTCTGCAGATTCCGCAACCAGACAGTGGGATTGCTCTTGTCCCACCGACACACATCTTGGCTGTCTCTTCCATCAAGACTCCGCAAACCAAGGCACAGCCAGTTCCCATCCACGGCGATGTGTTTGCTGCCAGCTGCTCCATGCCCCTTCTTCCTCCCGCTGTCCCGGAGACGGAAGAGTGTCTGCGACTCCCTGTTTGTCCGATTACTGTCCACTCGATCGGGACGTTGCTCGTGCTTCGCGAGTATATGTACACCCTACGATTGGATGTCCTGCTGCAAAGGATCTTCCCTTTGTCTCCTACGCTTCCCATTACCGATGCGGACGTACGCAAGCACGAGACGCTGCCTGACGCACGCAAGGCTGAGCTGGCGCAGCATATACTCACTGCCTATGCGAGTCCAGAGAACCTTATCGTCTTCGCCACCCGCGTGCAGATCATCCGCGAGACTGCGAGCCAGCTCGGAATGTATCACATCACGCTCTGGGTCGCGCTGGATCTCGCCTGGGATCTGGTGCTGTGGTCGCTAGATATAGCGACAGAAACGTGTCCAGTCGCTCAATCGCCACCCATCTCGATGACTTGACCGCTGTACAGATCGTCGCCACTGATTGTCAGAGAGCCAGCGAAAATAGCTGTTCTATGACATGCTGTATTGCTTTGTACTACATGCATTGTATTCCTATTCCTCTCCACCTTGAGTAACGAAATTCCTGAAGCAAAGCTGCTCTTCCGATCTCTCAGATATCTGCAGCACCGAGAAGCCTGTTGGGGGCGAGAAGCTGAGAATCTGAAGGGCTCAGGCAAGATGAAGATAAGATAACGGGGTTATCCATAATCACTGGACTGTCATTGGTGTCGGTGGCATGCGTGTACTAAAGCAGTTGGATGGATCTTTCCGGGAATGCTTAACATGAGAGCCGTGCTAGATGGAGATCCACATGTTCAGTCGGAAGATCTCATGTCATGAGCTCAGGTGAGATGCTTCCTTGCTGACTGAACCGAAACCCGCCATGGATCCCGTGCAGCCTGCATTGCTAGCCATGCGACGCTCGCAGCTTGGTGCCGCACGGAAGTCCGAAATGCGCAAGAGCTCTCAGCCTTTTGGCGTTGCAGCGAATGAATGATTCTGCCATGTAGATAAGATCGATCTGGCATAGATAACGTGAAGCACCAGGACGCGCCTGCAAATCGAATGAAAAAAGTGGTACCATACCACACCTCATTTTGAAGCGACACAACACCACGTTGCTGCCGTTCATCTCCACTCATTTCCACCCATCTCCTCTCATCCCATTCCCCCTTCGACCTCATCCATGGCTGACAAGGCAGCAAAACGCGCTAAATTCGAAGAGGCATGGACGCGCATCCGGGATGAACTTCTCGCGTACGCGACTGGCGAGGGCATGCCGGCTGAGGCAATCGAGTGGTTTAAGAAGGTACGTAGTTTCCCGTGCTACCGACTCAGCTTTGGGTCTTCCGGTTTCTTCCATGTCCACCGCGTTGACCCAGGACATACCCCTTAGAATCTGGATTACAATGTCCCCGGTGGTAAACTCAATCGCGGAATGTCCGTCGTGGACACTGCTGAGATCCTCAAGGGCGCCTCGCTCGACGACACGCAGTACTACCAGGCGGCTATTCTAGGATGGGGTGTCGAGCTGGTGCGTTTCTCTTCTGGCATGACGCTTCGTCCTCTCATCATATTGTGCAGCTGCAAGGCTTCTTCCTCGTGTCGGACGATATCATGGACAGCTCCATTACGCGTCGTGGCCAGCCATGTTGGTACCGTGCGCCTGGAATCGGCATGATCGCCATCAACGACTCGTTCATGCTCGAGGGTTCGATATACTATTTGCTCAAGAAGCACTTCCGCAGCGAGCCTTACTATGTTGACCTGCTCGAGCTCTTCCACGATACGACCTTCCAGACGGAGCTTGGCCAGCTGATCGACCTCATCACCGCGCCAGAAGACGATGTGAATCTGGACAGGTTTTCGCTTGAAAAGTGCGTTGTCCTGCCCAGGGCAGAGACTTGTTGAGCATGCGACTAAGCTTGCCCCAGACATAGCCTGATTGTGATCTACAAAACCGCCTACTACTCCTTCTACCTTCCGGTCGCACTAGCAATGTACATGTCCGGAGTGCCGCAGAGCTACACCGTGGACGGGAAGACGGTCGAACCCTATAAGACGGCACTGTCCATCCTCATCCCGCTCGGAGAATACTTCCAGATCCAAGACGATTTCCTGGACTTTTCAGCACCACCAGAAGTGTTGGGCAAGATCGGCACGGACATCGTCGACAACAAGTGCTCGTGGTGTGTCAACACGGCGCTCAAAGTCGCGACACCCGAGCAGCGGGCTCTGCTGGATGCTAACTACGGACGCAAGGACGCTGCGGCCGAGGCCAAGGTGAAGGCCCTGTACGAGGAGATCGGCATGCGGGAGCGCTATGCGAAGTACGAGGCGGAGGTGTATGGCAAGCTCAACGCGATGATTGACGCGATCCCCGAGAGCTCTGCGCCGGGTACTGTCAAGCGGGCTATCTTCACCAGCTTCCTAGAGAAGATCTACAAGCGGTCTAAGTAGGATAGTAGTTTTGACATAGAGAATTTGAACCGGAAAGACGACGATTCACGACTGATTGATACGCTCTGCGACCGGTCATTGCTTCCCATGCAGCGGCCCCTCCGAAAATGTCAGCAGAAAGCATCCGGCTCATTTCTGAGACTATCTTGGAACGCCGGGGCCAGGTAGGGATGTGATTTTAGATCTTCAACTTCTCTTGCAGAAGCACTCCGGCGTACCGCTCGGGTGCTAGAAGTTTCATTGGCTATCGAGAAGGCATCGGGGATCGAAAGCCAAGTGGTGCATTCGTCAGAAAGGAGGAACGGTGTCGGATACAGATTAGAGGGACGATAGCTTACAAAAGGAAGAATGGACCGGTAGAAGCTACGATCCAGCACTTTCTTTCTCCGGCCAGCGGAGCAACGTACTCCCTGTTGAAGGGCAAGTGGAGTGGGGGAAAGTCCAGTAATCCCCTGAAAAACAGGCCCTCCGCAGTTCGGTCGTTCAGAGGACCAGGTGCTAGGGGATACGACCAGTACTCGGGAAAGCTGGTTGACAAGTATAGCGGGGTTCCAGACCGGGCGATGTTGCTTGAAACCGCTGACATCGTGCATGAGAAGCCCTATTATCATGATAAGGCGCACGACTACCTGAACTAGGGCTGTGATAGGATTGCGTCGAGAAACTAGTAGCGCGGGGTCACCCATGGGTCCTGGTCACATTGCCTCCTTATCATACAGCCACTATAGGATGACGTCACTCTTACCTATAAATATGCTAGCCAGAATAAAGTCCACCAGACTATCCGAGCCTCACCTCCCACACTACGCCGATTCAAAACTATGACCACTCCGTATCCCGGCCAGAAAACTGCTGTCAATGTTGTCCTGGTGCGCAGTCAGGAGGCTCCAAGGTGCAGGCGCCGCCACTAATCTACTGTGGGCAGGGCACGATGACTTTCGGGGCACCGGGGACATTCCACGCGCGTGTTACTGATCTCAAAGATGTTGAGGCCATCATCGATGAATTTCTCAGCCGTGGACATCGCGAGGTGTGTTCTCTGCTTTGCTGATGATCGTGTGTGAATGATCACGCGGGCAGCTGGACGCGGCGCGCGTCTACGGCGATGGCACGAACGAAGAGTGGCTTGGGAAAATCGACTGGAAGAGCAAGGGTGTGCTGATGGAGACGAAGCTTTACCCAGTCTCGGTTCGCCAAATTAGTCCCCTATGCACATATCTAACGCTGACCGAACCAGCCCGAGACGAACTGTAGCGGGGATCATTCGCCTGCCAGCATTCGCAAATTCTGTCAGATGTCCCTGGACGCTCTCAAGACCGAGTACGTGCTCTTCATCGTGCCCCAGCTGCCATTACTGAGTCAATCAGCTCTATCGAAATGTGGTACCTCCACGGTCCCGATCGTAAGAACCCGTACGAGGAAACACTGCGCGCTGTCAACGAGCTCTACAAGGAGGGCAAGTTCAAGCGGTTTGGGATTAGTAACTACATGGCATGGGAGGTGGCCGAGATTTGTGGCATCTGTGAGCGCAACGGCTGGGTCAAGCCGTCTGTGTATCAGGGCCTCTACAACGCGATCCATCGGGCTGTTGAGCCGGAACTCTTCCCTTGTCTGCGAAAATTCGGGATCGCATTTTACGGATTCAATCCAGTGGGCGGCGGATTCTTCACGGGACGGTACTCGAGCATCGCCGATGAAGTGGAGGATACCTCTCGCTTCCACAGCAGTGAGCGGGTCAGCGCTGTAAGCCAAATCAAACCAACTTGTCTTTGTATTCCGTGTTTAATACTCTTCAGGCTTACCGCAAGCGATACTGGCAGCAAGCTTACTTCGAAGGGTTGAACAAAATCTCTGCAGCAGCTGAGAAACATGGTCTCACGATGATCGAAGTCGCCTTGCGCTGGACCATGCACCACTCTCTGATGAAGCGCGAATTCGGCGATGCGGTCCTGATCGGTGCTTCGAGCATCGCCCACATCAAACAGGTGCGGATCTCGCGAAAATCATCTGATCTGTATTTCTGACAGTACGACGCGCTGTAGAACCTGGATGAGTTTGAGAAGGGACCGCTGCGTAAGTGATCAAGATAGCTGTGAGACTGTTGTCTAATTTTTTCTCAGCTGAAGACGTGGTCGAGGCCTTGGACGAGGCTTGGGCTGGTGTGAAGGGCATCGCCACCAACTACTATCACTAGGTTATGGCGAAAAAACCAAACTGGTTCTTGATTGACCGGAGGACACATGACCAGAACCCAGACTTGCGTCTCAAGCTCATGGCACAGCTGCCGATGAGTCTCACAAAACACTCAGTTCGAATAACAATGTACTCTTTTATTCAATCACAAAATGGAGCCAGTCATCGAGGAAATACTATCTGTCGAGTTATTATGCTCTAAGGCGCTTTTCTTTCAGAATTGTAAAACACTGCATTTGTTTGGCCGAATCAATGCCAGGTGTCGTGCGTCACGAATGTTCCGCTAGCCGGAGAGGTGAACTCGTTGTTGTTACCGGATTCCCAGGACTCGAAGTTGCCGTTGACCTTGCGGATGTACTTGTACTGGATGTCGCTCGACGCAGGGAGGTTGACGGTGACTAAATCGCAGTTAGGATGAACAGATCACTGCGCCAATCACGTAGACTCACTGCTCCAGGTCGGGTAGTTCGGATTCGGCATGAGCAGGGCGTTGTTAGTGTTCCAGCCCTGCAACGCGTCCACATTTCCGACGAGATAGATGTTTTCTGTGTGCTGTTCAACACAAGACCCGCGAGATTGTCGCGGACGCTCACCTCCAAAGACGGTAGTCGCGACGACATTGAACGTCACAGCCACAGTGCCAGCAGATCCACCACCGCCACCGCTGCTGCCGCCACTGCCGCTTCCAGAGGTTTGACATACCGATGGGACGCTCAGCCCGGCAGCGCCCCATCCGGGCGAAGCGTTGCCAGCGCGTGCGGAGAACGCCGTGAGGATGGCGGCGTAGCTCCAGGTCAGATCCACTGCGCTGAGGGGGCTGCCGTTCGACCGGCTGTATTGCTCAGCAAGCCCGCCGTTGCTGGGCTGTGGATGACATCAGCGATATGAATAAGTGATTCCGATCGGGTCTTACCGTGTATTTCTGATCGATGGCCAAGAACCCGTCCGCGAATGTCTTGACAGCCGTGGTCAGTGTGGTGAAAGTCGACGTCGAAGATGCGTAACTGCCGGCAGTGACCGAGGGGAGGAACTGCTGGAAGAAGGCGAGAGACGTCGACGTCACGTTCAGCGACCCTTGGGCCTTCCAGACGATCAGAGCATCGTAGAGCTGCTCGGCCACAGCAGCTGTGGTCAAGTACCAGGGCTAGCTCAAATCAGTCAACGGGCCATCGAAAATTGGGGTGCACGGCTCACGTTTCCGCCCATGTACGAATCTTCGGGGTATCGGCCGGTAGCGACTGCTGCGTTCGATGCGATCCCGCTGTTGATGGAGTAGATCGAGCGGAAAGAGTCAACGTAGACTTTCAAGCTCGACAAGGCCTTGTCGGAACACGGCTGGAAGGTGGTGGCATCCTATCTCGAGTGGTAAGCGGAGCGAACGAAGCGACGCCCAAACGACTTACACAGCCAGCAGCGGGATCAAAGGTGTGGATCGAGGCCAATGCGGTGTTGGCATCTTTGCCTGAGCGTCCGCCGCCGGTGTTGGCAGTGATGTACCCGCTGGTTGGGTTCCAGTATGATTGGAGGAAGCACAGCAAGTTGTCCGCCTGCGCCAAGTAGTTGCTGATGACGGCAGTCTGACCGAGAGCCTTGGCCAAAGCTGCACCTTCGCGAAGGGCCCGGTGTTGAACTGCTGTCGTGAAGAAGGATGACGAGTTGACCTCTTCCCAAAGATCGAAACTGGGAGGAGGAGATATATCAGTCCAGATCCCAGCCCCAACGGGACGTATCGGCTCACGTTGTCTGATTCCAGTCAGCAGCCACATAGTCCAAATCAAGCTTGATGATCGGCCACAATGTGCTGAGGACGTTCGACGCGCTCGTGTTTTTGAGCACCCAGTTCGCGTATTCGATGATCGAAGTTGCGCGGAGAGCAGGTCCGTCACGCTGAGGTCTGGATGGAGTTTGGTATCCGCTCGCATCATTTTTTCACAAGCTGCGTACCTTCCCCAAGCACCGGTGAAAGGCGTCTCGTCGATGTTGTAATGAGGTTCGCCGAGACCACCAGTTGATACAGTGCCGCTGGGATTCGATACTTGTTGCAAGATACTCTCCGCAGACACGAAGTTTTGGATCTGGCCCAGCAATGTGGTGTCTTGTCCCGAAACAAACCTGGAGAGACGATGAGAATCGCTTTGCGGAAAGCGCAAAGTGAAACGCACTGGTCGATGATGTACTTGAACACGAGCGACGAGTCTCGCGTCCAGGTGAACAGATAGTTCGGGTTGGTGGTGCTCGGACTGGCGATCACCACTCCTGCCTAGTAAACGTTGAGAAAGGATCGGCAGGAAAAGTGAGACGCGTACCTTAGCGCCTTGGATTTCGACCCCGAAGGACCGATGTTGGCGAACAACCCAGCCTTGGCGATGGGCGATTCGGTCGCAACATATTGATCGACCGTCGTCTGCGCAAAGACACAGGCTACAAAGCCAACGAGAACGGTAGAGACTCGCATTGAGGACTGAATAAACTGCTCGTCGTTCGAGCTTTAATACTGGCCGTCAGCTGCATCATACGGGCCCCGTGAAAGCAGCGGTCCATGTGCCAGAGCACCACATGATGGGGCTTCGCGCGAATGACGACCTGATACAGTCTCCATTCGCTATTCTGGTGCTCGAAAGGGCTAATTTCTGTCCCCCGGCGTGGCCGAGGTTCGGTGGCACGATGGGCTTCGATGCGAAAAATCACAAGTGGAATTCCCAAACGAGACGCGGAATTCGAGATGGAAGCGCCGAGAGAGCGATGCACAACGTCAACAGACACGTTGGTGCATAATCACACGACAGTCATCCGGTAGGAATCCAACCGGAGATCATGCTACCCAGTAAAAGTCAGCGTCATCTCCCGTGAATCGGAGATGCCCTCCGTGACTAGCGCGGAGGAAGGAGCAAATAGAAAACTTGGCGGAGATGGTTGTGAACATGGCCATAATATTCCTCAACTGGCAAATCTCTGGCCGCACGAGTGCTTTTCTCAGGCCGCGGCTCGCGTTCCAGACCGTGCACTTCCAGTTTTGCTTCTTCAGCGCCATTCGGAGTGTGACGAAGAATGGGACCCACACAAAGCGTGTACTTGCAAGTACTTAGCAGGAAACGGTCATTGGCCAGGCGGGAATGTGAGCACGGGGTGGGCGCCTGGATTCTCAGGAACACTAGGATAGATGTGGGGTCGATCGATATCGCCCCGACGTTCGCATGTCATTTTTCGACCAGGGGGTGACCCGCCAGGATAAGTACCAGAAGCTGGCCGCGCTGCAGTGAGGATTGTACATGTTTCCAGCGGATGCATCAGTCAATCCACTATCATGACTTCCCAAAGATTGGAGCAGCAAGGTTATAAATGACAGGAAGGGAGGCAGAGCTGCCACAGAGATGTCTGGGCCGAATTGGATTCGAGCCAGAGACGATAAGTGACTGAATTGGAGATACCGTCCATGGGGTTCAGGTGCTGGCCAGACAGAACCAGACCCTCTGCAAGCGAGGTCATTGACCGGGTCACTGAAGAACACAACTTGTTGATGCCGGCCAGTTGTGCCAGGAATTCAAACTCCGACCCCGCCAATTCCCGTTGTCTCCCGCCATAGATGCAGTCCACTCACATGCTGCGCCCCGTCCTCCGGGCTCAGGCTCAACGCCGATGCCTAGCCACCGCTACCATGAGCCATGCCTCCTCCTCGTCTGCACCGGCTGCAGAGTCAAAACGCGCCGCTGCGATCCCTCTTTCCAACATAGAAGCCCAGTGGGCACTCCTCACACCGGACGACAAGTCCTCGGTCGCCGACCAGCTTGAGGAGCTGCAGAAGCGTGACTGGAAGCTGCTGAGCTCAGATGAGAAGAAGGCCGGTGCGTGCCAGTTTTTTATGGACAAACACGGGTCCTTATGTGTCCAGCGTACTACGTCGCTTTCGGTCCTCATGGCCGCCGCAAGCCTGTCCACGAAAAGGGAGACGGCTTCCAGATCATGTTGGGCACCGCCGGTCTCGTGGGTATCGCTACCGCCATCTTCTTCGCTATCCGTGCCGCCGGTCAGTGGAGCCGAGCACATTTCTGCTTGCACATTTTGACTGAGTTCTTTATTAGCTCCTCCCCTTCCGAAGACGATGTCCAAGGAGTGGCAAGAGGCGATGAACGAGCGTGCTATCGAGCAAAAGATGAACCCCATCACTGGTGCGTGTCTTGTGCATCCCTGCGGTCCGAAGATGTGTTTGCTCAGCCTCTCTCTCCAGGTATCACCTCGGAGGGCTACAAGGGCAAGGGTTTCGTCCAATAGATTACGAGCTAATGCATCTGGCTACATAATCAATCTCATATTCTTCTGGCCACAATCTCCTTGTTCCACTCTGGCATATTCAAACCACCGCTTATCGCTGCCTACTTCTTTTTGAATTCTTCCATCTCAACCTACATTTCTCTCATCTCAGCATCTCAACAAGCACCGGCATTTTGCGCAGGAAGAAACCTGGTAGGATTGCAGGTGAGTGAATTGACGGCGGTGATAACAACATGCGCATCTGACAAGCCTGGCTTTCCTTCGGCCCCAACAGTTTCGCATTCGCATTTCTGCTACTCCAACCATTTGACTTGGTTCGGATTCCTTCTTCCCAGCGCGGAGCACGATGCCGCCCGAGACCACTGACTATGATGCTACACTTGGCGCTCCAGTGAGATTCTTCCCTTCCACCTTTGCAACGACGAAGGATTTTGGTGTGCTTATCTCCGATCTGACGTCTTCTTGGGCGGACCACATTAAGCCGCGGGCCTTCGGCTGTTCAAGCTCTCGTGGGCTTACTGTAAGTGCATGTGTAAATGACGGAGCTCACGGCGCAGGTCGAGTCACTGGCGGAACAGTGTCCGAGCCAGTGCAGCGGAAGGGGGCCGAATCGAATTCGAAGTGCCCACCATGTGTGATCGACCACGCGCATGGGGGGCGGGGGCGTCCAGTGTCCGAGACAGCATAATTGCCAAGGCGAGGGCAGTTGTTACGCGATTTCGATCTCATACGATACGATGCACCGATCGCGTCCTCGTGAAAAAGTCATCCACGCTGCCCATCACCTGTTTCCCCAAAACTCGCAAATGGATTGCCAGCCAGACTCATGCGATCACCCCCCCTCCAATTCGACTCTCGTGTCATCTCCCTGTACCATGCAACCGCATAACCAGCACTCTGAACAGGCTAATTTGAGTCGATGCATCCTCCACCCAAGCGACGACGCACTCGAGCAGCAGAAAGATCCATAACCGTGACCTGGTTACCAAACCCCTCAGCCCTGCTTCACGTGGGTACATACCTGCCGAATTGTGCACGGCTTCGCTCCCGAATATATTCGTCGACATCGACACAGCCGCGAATCGACCTCCCGTTGTCCATACGATGTCCAGTGCTTGCATCAGTCTGTCCACTGTGCTCGGACCAAGGAAGTCAACCATGTGGTTCAGTGCCAGCTCGCGTAACGGTAGACCCCGTGTGCTTTTGGGAGGAGGGGAACGTACACACGTACTAGGTTGACGAGAGCATCGACGAGGATGGAAAACATTGTAAGACGAGACTGGATGTCACTTCTTCCGTGTTGATCTCAGCTGGCGCACGCAGAACACGTCTCTGCAGATGTCTTGCAGCCAGCACCATAATCTGATGTCGACCGTCCACAATTGGCGAGACAGGTTTCGACCCAGAACTTGCTTTGTTGAACGAGATGGTGGCGTTCAATTGTTTACGCCGCGAAGCATCCCCGCACGATCGCAATCAAAACCTACCTCGTCGACAATCCCCGAAGCTCAATCCAGACTCCCCGCACTGCAAAAAAGCAACTGGGCTGATGATAATAGCTTCACGTCAGCTGTCCGCCCGATAAGATACAATTAGATTTACTGCCTGCTCGCTCCTCTCCTCTACTCTGCCTTCCCACTGCTCTCTCGCTCGAGCGCCACGACTGCCTGTGTGTCCGGTGGTTCCACAGAGCTTTCCCCGCGCCTCCGAAAAGGGGGGCAGCGGCTTGCGAGTTGTGCCGCCGTATCCGTGCAGCTTCTGCAGTAGGAACTTGGTTCCAGCAATGGACGCCTTGGCAATGGTGTAATCGGCGCGGGCGATGATGCCCTGCAAACGCAGGGCCTCGGGAGAACAGACAAGTCCGTCGTCGCCTTCTCGGACAGATCGAAGAGCTTCTTGATCGCATGCTGTTGGTGTAGAAGGGCGTGTCAGGAATCCCAGATCGGGATGATGGGGCAAGAGACGCGTACGGGTGCTACATTGCCCAGACCGGTGATGGCACCGTGTGCGCTGGCGAATGCCGAGGAGTGAGGAAATCGATGAAGCCGCCCAACACGAGGAAAGGTGCCGTGGCAGTCTCCGTGGATATTTGGACGAGAAGTTCGCTCGCGCCTGACACGCGGAGGCAATTCTGGTCAGCTTGCCTACGTTTGGCCGCAGCTGGTTCCAGCGCGTCAGGAGAAGACACAACGTGAGGAGTA